CCCATCCCGTCCCCCCAAAACCCGTCCCATCCCGTATATATAGTGGGACGGGATGAGACTTATTTTTGTCCCCCCAATCCCGGTCCCGGCAAAATCCCCCCAGCCCCGTCCCCCGTCCCGTCCCGTCCCCCAGTCCCCGTCCCCTTGCCAGCCCTAGTTGATATGTATATAATACATGTAATAAAGTTAAAAAAATGATTGAATTTGATATATATTATGTATCATGCACATATCAATTAATTTGATAACAGTGCCTTAGCTATAGAACATAAAGGGTTTATGTATCAAGTGTATATATTGGGTAATGCGTACAGACGCATAACCTTATAGTTGAATAATTTTGGGTGTATGTATCTGGTAGTAAAAGATTGCCACTGATATGTATAATATACTTATTGTTGAATCTGATACATAGTTCTCCAGTTATAGAACATTATGATTTATGTAACACGATTGAAGATACATTATATAACTTGATATAAGTTAATGATACATTAGGTAGTGTTTATGAATCAAGTACATTTTTATTGAACATGATAAACACTAGTTGAAGATTCAACAACATTAGAGTTATGTTTCAGTACCTTAAATATGAACATGATACATTGCATAAAACATAAGTTATTGTATCAGTGTTGTATCGGATGAGTAATAACATTAACAAAGACTAATTTATGAATCAAAATAAACAAGGTACATTGAAAATCTGTATCTTTGGTAGTGATGATCATGTAATGACAGATCCAACTCTTTTCGTTCTTTCTTTGAGCGTTTTTTCAACAGTAGATTTAGAACTCGAGTATGCATCATTTTTTCGACTTCTCCACTCTCAAATTCTTCATGATTAATGGATCGTTCCGTTGATTAGATCCATTTTCATGAAAATTTTCATCATCAAAATTAAATACACAAGGTACCATATCTCCTGTAGGTGAAACTAATTTGGGCAAATCCAATACTAAAAGAGGAAGAAGAATCCATATGTTTCAGAAATTTGTAGATGAAAAAGCTATTTTTTTTTATAAAAAAAAAACCACAATTAAAGAACTGGAAAGAAAAAAATTGATGACGAAATAGTTCTGCCTCTTAAGGAACTTGAAATCGATGAATTGGAGAGAGAATAGATTTGAAATTCAAAAATGGAGTGATGGATATAACTGCCGACATATGAGAGTGATTTTAGGCGTGAAAATAGGAACAAAATCATTGGGTTGGAAGGGTTGTGAATAATGTATCCGGAAAAGGAGAAAAAAAGGGATTTTTGTATTTTTTAAAATGGTAGAAAATTTTAGAAAACATGAAAAGAAAGGTTGTGTAGTTAAGTAATTTTTCGTAGCTATAATCCTCTAAACCGTTTTTTCTTTATCTCTTCTAAACAAATTGGGTCAGCCCACTGTAATCCATGGCCCATAATCAATTGTACTTGAAATGTTGGATAATTACTATCATGAGGATAATTGGGTACATGAATATCATAAAACTTTTTTAACTAATGAATAATGGTTTTTTCCTAATTAAATAAAACAAAAGAAAATAAGAATATACAATAGGGAAAATACATAAGTTACCCATTTTAGTTGCACATTAAGTTATTTATACACTGATATTTCATGAGCGACCTAAAAGAAATAAGGGAAAATGGCCTAATATATCCCTCAATTAGCTGATATATCCTTCGTTGTAAAATTAGCTCATATATACCCCTATCGTTACAATAATGACTCACATATACCCCTACCATTACAAAAGTAAAAAAATAAATTTAAAATTTATTTTTTTAATTTTTAATTTTTTTAAAAATCATCTATTTGATCTTTTTCACACATACATCATTTTTTGATTTCTGATTATTATTATTTGAGTTTTTTTTTCTTTTTTTTTTCTTTCATTCTTTAGTGTAAAAATAAGAGAAATGAAAAGGAAGAAGTGTGAATGAGAAAAGATTAAATAGTTAAAAAAGAATTTAAAATTATTTTTTTGCGGCTATATTGTAATTTAGATTTTATATATGTAAAAAAAAAAATTTGGGACATTTATACTAAATTTTACAAAAAATTAGGTGAAAAAATATATTTGACCATCAAAACAATAAATTCAAATGATCCTTATTATTAATTGGTCATCAAACCTTTTAATGGCTTTGATTGAGCCTTCAATGTTGGAGTTGAATTGGACGTTCTTTGCCAAGAAGAACGTTAGATTGAGAGCTGTTGAGAATGATAATCCTTTCTATATATACACATATATTATCAACATCTTTGAGAAGAAAAAAGATACATACATATATTCTTCCTTTTAAAATATATAATAGTTTTTTTTTTTATGAATCGTTGTCAGTTTCTGTGTTCCTAGTTTATACTAGAAGGGTTTGTTGAATCCTGGGGGATACACCTATATCAAATGAAATATACTTAAGCAGGGGCGGACCCACCCATGGCCGAGGGGTGTTAAGTGACACCCCTTCGCCGGAAAATTACATTGTATATAGAGGTCGAATTTTGGTTATATATATATATTGACATCTCTTGACACAAAGGAAATGTTTAGTCTAGTGGTTAAGGAGTTGCAAAAGTTCCTCAAGGTTGCGTGGTCAATCCCTAGTTGCCACGTCCGCCACTGTACTTAAGGACATTGTTTTTAACATGCTATGAGAATTTCTTACAAGTGTTCGTGACGAAATATTTTTCATTAAGATTTCCAACACAACTTGGCTACCGTAAGATCCATTTGCACAATTGGCAGTTGCCATGCTTGAGGAGTAGACATAACAAGTCTAATTTTTTATTAGTTAGCTTTAATTTTGTGACACATGAATCGATGTATATTGTGGTAGTTTTTCCCCCTTTCATGTCCATTTTTTTCATATGTTTGATCACTCAACCTTGTATAAAATGGAGGTTACATCCTTTTCCCCCTTCACCCTTTTGTTGGTTCAAAGATTAAATTTACAAGGTTGGGGTCACGCCAAATCCTCTAATGCCCTTTGGTCATTGATCAAGGTGATTGACTTTAAAATATATATATATATATAAATAAAATTAGCTTAGCCTTATTTATTTTATTTATGAATTTTTAAGGAACGTGTCAACTAATATTGACAGGAGAGTAATTTGTATCGAAGGGGAGGTGGTTGTGTTACCTCATTTTAGCTGTTTGTAAGGTTGGAAAGTCTTTTTCCGCTTCCTACCTTAATATTCTTTCAGCTTAATTCCTAACCAAATTGTTTCTACTTGTAACCTACTCAAAAGAGACATGGCCAACTAACACCCACCATTAATTTTATTTCTTAATGCTTTTAATTATATCCATTCTTTTTTATTCTCTTTTACCTAATATTTAATACTTCTGCCTCGCTGGAACTAAATGATGCCCTCTAATTAGCTGGTAGATTACATGAACTTAATAATTAAGTCAAGCTGGTGGATTATTGGTTTAATATTCCCTTCTTCGAATCAAATATAATTTCGTTTATGAATTAATAAAAAAATATTCTTGCATCTCTCTCAAAAAAGTACATTGAGCCCCCTTTTTTTCTTTATATATTGAAATTAAGAATATATAAATATTACATAAATCTCATAGTGTTAAGGCATAATTACATCTTATTTCTATTATTTTTTAAACAACAAAAATCCTTTAAAATTATCGGATCTCGAATACATCAGGAAACATGTGGATACATAGCTCACAAATGTATCCGAGCAAGGAGGGATGTGTCTGAGAGGGGATATGAATGTATCTGAGAAGGTATTTTTGTAATTTTTTTAAATGGTAACAAATTTTAGAGATTATGGTAAAAATAAGAGGTGTATTTAGATAAGAATAAAGCATTGGATATAATACTAGCTAGCTTACCCCACATACATATAGATCAATCATATTAATTACAAAAAACGAAAATAAGTTGCCAATAATTAATAATTGTCAGCTTATAAAGGAAGCATGGCAAATAGTTTTGGCTCCCCTTTTCAATTCTTTAATATAATGGAGCATAAAGTCTATCAAACTTTATAATAATGGAGAAATGAAAAAAAAGCATCGCCATCATTTCTAAGTCCGCTTCTCTTATTTTTCCATCATCGTCTCTTCTTCATTGATCATTTGAGTTTAATTTCTTCTTCGACTATTGATCAGAAAAAATAATAGAACAAATAAAGATGGATTGTTCTATATGTAGCGCGATGCCATTTATTCTAAGGCCACCAAGAAATACTATATGCGCAGCTTGTTATGAGGGAGCTAGAACTATAATTACGTTGACTACCAACAAGCTTGATCATATTGAAAATGCAAAAGGAAGTGATAATAAAACAGTAACTGGAGTTCTTTCTGCTTCTTCATCCAATCCTTCTATTAAGGTATGTATATATCATCATCTCTTTCTCATGGTTGCTTGTAATACAGGAAATTAGCGACAGATAAAATTTCATAGCTAAACAATAAAAATTTCATATTAATCCATTTAGCTATGGATTAATGATGGATTATAAAAAAATTTAATTATCTATGAGGTTTTTATAGCGATCGATTAGCCAAGGATTGCCGATAAATTTCGTAGTTTATTTCATGTTTTATACATTATTAATTTGTTCCTAAATATAGACGTCATTCATATATATGATGACAAGATGGAAATGGAATATAACTTTTTCTTTATTTTTTTCGTGCGAGAGAGGATTTCCTTCATCGTAAATGTTATAACAATTATTCTTCACACACAAAGTAAAAAAAAAAACAGTTTTCGACCCCAAGTTTTGCAATTTCACAATATTGATCCTTTGATGGTGGTTGTAGTCTAACATTTTGTTATAATCTAGACTCGCACGACTTTAAATCCTAAGCAAATCTCATAACAAAATATGTGAAAGATGTTGCACATATAAAGAAGCTAGTCTTAATTCCTAAAACGTGTTTTTTAAAAAAAAAAGTAGGAATCTAGGACCAAAATGGAAAATATCAATAGTTGGCTCCATTGTTAGATATTTACAAGAAGATTGGGAGAAGTTATATTTCGTTTTTTTTTGTACTGCTGATTTTGATTATAAATAAGCAATTAGGAGAACAAAAGAAATTGGAAATTTTGAGTGTAGCGTGCAAAAACAATTTGCAAGGCAGTAGCTTGAGGCTAAACTTATGTAGCACAAAGAGAAATTGGAAAACCCAATGCTCTAATATAAAGTCAATATGTTGCTTCAAACCTTTTTGATTTACTGTAATACTTCAATTAAACTACTTCCTCTGTTCCAAAATAATGACATGATTAATTAGCAGTTGAAAGATGCTCATGTTTAATTTTGCTCTATTTTTTTAATATTGATATGGATTATGGATATAGTTTTCTTGATGAAATGATTTACAATCAGACAAATATCACATAATTGTTTTAGATTACATGCTTCAAAAGTCTTCCTTTTTGCTTAAAAATCGTACTAAGTCAAATGATGTCACATAAAATGAAACGGAGAGAGTATTTGATATAAAACAAATACAAATTGTCTGACTTTCCAATAAGTAATCATGATCATTCTTACGGAAAGGTTGTTTAGTTTGACTTTTAATTTTTGACTTATAAGCCCAAAACTATAAATTAGAATTTTCAGTTTATGACTTTAAGTCTATTTTATCATTTTAGCTTAAAATTAAATATTTATAAGCATTTTTTTTAATTCACGCAAACACTTTAAAAGTGATTAAATGCTATTTTGACTTAAAAATACTTGAAATAATGGGAAACTTACAGAAATTCCACTAGTTTAGGGACTAATTACTTAGATACACTCTAGTTTGCAAATATTACAAATCTTACCAGATTTTGGTGTGTACAGATACATGTGGTCAAAATTAGGTGTAATTTATTTTATTATATCCAAGTGTATCCACATGTATATGGGATACATAACAAATCTCGCGTGTCTCCCTTCTATCCCGGATACATGCGAACCACACTAGATACATACAAATTCATATATCTAGGGTGATTCGCATGTATCTAGTATACATGGTTATCTTGCCCGCCCTCCCTATTTTAGTATATGTGGTAACAAAAATATATGTATCTAGGTGTATCTTCCTTGATAGAATTTTTTTAATTAATGATAAGATATGCAATTGTTTAAAAGAATAGATAAAATTAGCATATAGTATATAGATGTATGTCTAATAAGCTAGTTCTCCTAAAATAAAAGCAATTAACTTGATGAGAATATAGATAAATGGACCTTTCTACAAAAGTGAAAAGCTATATCTTCATTAACAATTATTTGAAGTGACATAAAAAATATTGAATTGAGGAATCTCATTTATTGGATCTGAAAATAATGAATAGTAATTACAGGGATTTGGAAATGCGTTGAAATGGGTGAAAGAAATGAAGGAGATGGAAGAGGAATTAAAGGAGAAGCTGAATTATCTTAGTGGTTTTGTTGTTGCCTTGAGAGATCATATTCATACTGATATTTTAATTAAACCTGGCAATGATGCTCCTTGTATACCAGCACATAGAGCTCTTCTGGTAATTTTTGTACCAAATTAAACTATTATTATTCCGTTATCTCAATAATCACTACTTCATGGAAACATTTTAATTACTTTAACAGGCAGCTAGATCTAATATATTCAAAAACATACTGGACTCAGATGGATGTAAAGCTCCACCAAGTGACAACACAATAACATTGTCTGAACTAAACTACGATGAATTAGAGTGTTTATTAGAGTTCCTGTACAGTGGAGATTTGGCTAAAGAGAAGGTGGAAAAACACGTATATTCGTTGTCAATTGCAGCAGATAAGTATGAAATCCCCTTTTTGCAGAAATTTTGTGAGAATCAAATGTTGGGATCATTGAACACATGGAATGCTCTTGATGTTTTAGAGATTTCTGATACTTGTTCTAATACGTCGTTAAAGGAGACAGCGTTAAACTTCATTGTTAAGAACATGGAGGATATTGTGTTTACACCTAGATTTGATGCATTTGCACTAAAAAATCCTCATTTAACTGTACAGATTACTAGGGCTTCTTTTATAGACATTAAAAATACAAGGCTTACTGTTTGATTATATTCTTCTGTTAATATCAGTAACTAATTGTATGCTACAACAAGGAAATTGGCAATTTATACAATATTTCTTCCTTGTTATTACTTCCATAGTCTAATCTGCTTAATTAATCTTGGGCTCGGCCCAATAAATTATTTGATCGACATTGGGTTTTGGAGCTAGCTAGGTAGAGTACTTCAACATTGGGCCTCAAACCATATAATAGGCCATGACATTGTGTTGTCCAAGCCCAAAAGGCCCAAACCCCTTGTGTGATGTTGGAACTTAAGACATCAAGTTTCTTCATGGTGGATGTTTGAAAGTAGGGCTTGTTACGTAATTGTACAGGTGACAAATTTTTTTTCAATAAAATGTATATATAATGTATCGATATTATACAATTTGGTATATATGATATATATACATCCATATATGTTGTGTATACATTATTTACATACATATGTATAATAGTTGGATTATTTTGGGTAAGGAATTTTGATTCAATGAACATTGTGTCTAATTTTTCCTTGAGTGTATGTCTATGAAGTCATTCATTTCATAATTTATGAGTTTGATTCAATCCATAAGAATCCATCTTCCTAAATTTGCTTTTGAGTTGTTTCACATAATTAATCGATGAATGTAACAAGGCCTGTAAGTGGATATCGTCGGGGAGGGGCGGGGAACCATCAAGTTGAAGCTCAACTTTTCATTTTTCTCTTAGTGTTTTATCTGAATGGAGTAGTAAGAGGGGGGGGGGGGGGGGGGGAAG